ATGTCGTACCTCGGACAAATAGGAGTCCTCTATGGTCAAAGTACCACCTGTATCAGTCATACTCTGATTCGGTGCATATCTTGATCGCAAAAGATCAAAGGTCGGCTCCAGTGGATGTCCGGCGTACACTGAGGAATGAGTTACACTGCCCGTTAGACCGCACTTCTCCGCTGGCGAAACCAATGTGGTCAGATCATTTTCTGAGGATTTGTCCGGTGCTGTATGACCCATCTTATTATGATTGTCCCCAAACGGTGTAATCGATATAGCACTAGAGAATGCGGACAGTGGAGCGCCAGTGGCTGCTTCCGGAACAAGTCTACCATTGGACGGGGACAATGACCGGTCGGTGTTGGTCGCCGCGGCCGGAGCCGGAGCTGAGGCTACTTTTGTTTCCGAGTGTACCTCAAAGTTGTCTACCATGTCCCGTAGATTGTGTAGTACTTGATTCACCGGATTGCTCGGATACGCGTTGAGTATTGTGTTCTACGAAACACAATGATGGAAGGGGAGGGAGAGCACGAGACAAACGATTACGATCATATCTTCCATTCACAGAATTGTGAAATAGTTCGCCTGGTTAATGCCGTGGTAAAAATGTACAATTGACGTCTCAGGTTCGATCATCAGTCTGGTCGATAGAAGCGCACTACCGATAAGACCCAATCAATTCAAAACATTCTTGCAGTGCTTCCTAGTTTGTTTTCATTGGAAGCATCAATTGCTCTGTACACGACGACATTAAATAGATAATCAAGTAGAATCATCTGCTTCTCTCACGTAAAATGTACAAATGTTTGCTGTTCCAAAACAACGATAATAGTGGAGGTGTCAAAGTTCTAAAACATATTAAAAATANCGTTAAATCCGAAAGCTGTAGTATGATTGACACTTAGTGTCCAGGATTCGGATTCTTTCTCTGCATCTCTCGAAATGCATTTCGGCACGACCAATCATGTCAATAGCCTCTGTAGAGAAAACCTTTCCCAGTACCTTCATGGGGTCGAGGGAATTATTCGGCGAAGCAACAGAACAAAAAGCCAAACCCCCGAACCTTTAATAGCGTCGGTAAACCACCTCGATGAGTAGCCAGACGTACCGCTAAAAGGGGTAAAAACTGAACCATCATAATCCTGCGTCTGATCATGGTTCCTAGCTTAATTTGGCACCTGGGGTGTTTGATCACGTCCAAATGGGGCTGGACACTGGGTCATAATCGGTTGCAAAACTCGAAGCCCAATCCTGCTGCAATACGGATTTGACTTTAGTGAACGGCTTCCGGTTGAAGGCATCAGATTCCCCTCTCCCCTTTAGCTCAACCAAGGTAGCTGGGAAGTAACATGTTCCCGCCGGTACTAAATTCTGTGCCACTTCTGCTAATTTTCATGTAAGTGTTTCATATCGCGTATGATACAATTCCCTGAAAAAAGATAATAAAGTTAAATACTACTGCAGAAAACTTTCTAACAAAACTGGTAAACGTTCAAGCCATGTGCCTAAAACTCTATTCAGAGTGACTGACACAGTGTCTTGTTTTCCCTTCAAATCTTATCCATTCCAAACGATGTGAAAATTTAATTCTCGCTAATCGAACTGATAAAACACGACTATCGTTTACCTGGTTGATCAAAAATACATTTTCATTACCACTTTTCTAATTGTGCTTCTCAAACAATTTCGGAATTTCCAACTGTTGTTTGACAGATTTAAAGTTTGTATGGCGATTGTGAAAAGTTCAGTAGCCTCGGTGGGATTCGAACCCACGCATGGACGCCATCTATGCTCAGTACGTGCACGCTCAGCTGAACTACGAGGTCACGCTGATAGCCGAGAGCTTTTCACACAAAGCGTAGGCGGTGTCCATGCGTGGGCTCGAATCCCACCGAAGCTACCGAACTTACATATAAACTTTGGAAGTTTCATTTTTGAGTGAGATGAATCAGTACAAAAGATAATTTATGAATATCTTCTTGATCTATCCCATATTTTTCTCGCAATTAAATAGGAACTGGCATAGAATTACTGTGCGCATTCAACTTTCAGTAAACTTAAAACAAAATAAGCAGGCTTTATGATTGCTGAGTTGTTAATTTTAAACTATAACTTCTCATTAAATCGTCATAAATCCCTTATCCCACCAGCCATACCTGTTCATCTTTCCAACGTTCGGATGAGTGAGGCCAGTCAGTCGTTGGCATGGTGCTTTTATCCTCATCAAGTAGGGACAGATTTGCGTTGGACGGATTCGAACTGCTCCATTCAAATTGGAGAGAGTTCACACCTGGGGTTCCGTTTACCGGAGTTGGAGATCTGGACGGTTTGAGTGCACTGTCCGAGCCGGACATGGGGTTCGTGCCGGATTTGACGGAATTTGGTGAGGGACAACTTCGTCGTCCGTCCGTCCCGGACTCTTTACTCTCCCGTCTCCATTTGGCTCGTCTGTTTGAGAACCACACTTGGATTCGCGATTCCGGAAGCATCATACTGTCCGCCAATTGTTCACGAGACAAAAGATCCGGATAATGCGATTTCTCGAATTCTGCAGGGCCACAAAAATTAGGGGACAGAGAAGTTACGATCCAGTTCTCATTGATCCAATCAATTCTTTGCCGAAAACCGATCCATAATGTATTATGTATAAAATCTAGACAGAAAACCTCCAACGAGTTTACTCTGCTATTCCAGTTCCCAAACATCAGTTTTTCCTCCGGTGTTAGCATAACCGACAAAATTGTTCTCTTATGAGGGCTCATCAGTAGTAAGTATAATCTACTTCATAATAGGACCAGCCGGTATTGAGCTTCAGTTACCCTGGCATTTTTACCAATTGCAAGATGTTGTGAACTCAACACATCATGACAAGAATGAAGCCAGTGTAATTGCTTGAATCGGGCAAAATGATTCATAAATCCTTTTAACCACGTGCTTCATATGGCGTGAGTAATATGGAAACCTTTTTGGAAGCACAAGAATCACAAACTACTAACAAAAAGTGAATAGAAATCAAATAACTAATTTCTCAATAGCTTTCACAAAATTTCATTGAACTTGGTCATTTTTCTCTTTAAATTCGATGATGAAGATGATGTGATAGATCAAAATTGACAAAACGGTTTCAGGCAAAACACCATAGACGTGAAATAAAGTAACCAGCTACACCTGTAAATGTCCAATAACTAACCTTTTTCAAGGATTTCAATCTGTTCACTTGTGAATGCGGTCCGATTGCGTTGCACCTTGCGACTGTCCGCAAACCCACCGGAATCTGACGCGTAGGACATCGGATCGGCCGCGTTGTATTCTATTCGCTTTATCGGATCATCATCTGAGTCTGTCAGGAGATTGAGACAACCAGTCCTGGTTCGACAGTTGGACGGATCCGACTGGACCGGTGCCGTGTCGTAGATAGACACACCGTCGGTATCACTGGTCAGGCACTCGGAACTGACACTTTCAGCAGATTTATTGTGCTCAGAGGCCGTTGTGTTGTGGGACTGCTGCTGCTGCTGCTGCTGCTGGTGATGTGTTGACGTGGAATATGCAATCGGATATGAGCCGTGGTTGAGACCAGAATTTGCTGCCGTGTTTTCCGTCCCATTGGGCGCAGTGAGTTCTTTCGCTGTCTCACCACTACCGGACGACCATTTAGGGTGCTCAAACGGGCCTCGTCGTGGCAAATCTGTATGGATGATTATTTGACAGAGGAATTATCTGTATGAGCGTACTGTTCAAAGTGAGCTTTTGTGGTATTTGGAGGGGGGGTCGATTTTCTAACAATTCCGCGCAATCTGTTTTGTTAAAAAATAGCTGTGTGATTTTTTTGAGCGATGATTCCCACTATTTTGGGATCGAAAATAGATTACTTATTTCACGTGTATCTCTAGGGATCCGTGGCTTGATTTTCAATTTTTCAGTAGGTTACCTTGTCTTCTTGTTCTCTACTCGAACTTCTGAATACACACTAAGCTGCTACCACGAAAACCACTCATGGTTTGCCTGTTGGTATGCGCAAATCAGGATGACATTTTCTAATTCAAGTATATTAGCGATTAAATGCTTGGTTTTTCGACACTGATTGATGAGGTCAATAGCTATGCGAATGACAGATTTCAATGGACATTTTATGTATCAGACACGTGAGCATGATATCAAGGAGTGAACGGTGGTCAAAATGGATGACAGATTTTTGTCAGAGACATTTCGTCTCTGTTCCCAAAAATCCGTTCAAAATCATCTTTACTGTTTGGTACTGTAGGTTAACAGTTGTGTTGAAGCGCCCCTCAGGGGAACGGAGAAATGGGACATACTCTGCAACCGACATACTAACTAAATATGAATCTGCAGAGTAAATGTGCATACATCATCGTACGAGTATGATTCATTCAGAAGAACATGGAACCATGCTATTGTTCAAGGGGAGGGGAGGGGACAGAGAAAAATCACAGGTAATTCGTACAGACCCGAGTGCATGTAGCACAATCAATCAATTATCATCATCCACGTCTGCTCACTAGACATTTTTAACTTTACATATAATGGAAGTGATTGAAAATAAGCTTTGTACAATTTGAAATGTTACTCAGATGCTGGAATACCCAAGTTTGCAAAAAAGCTATCGAAATAACTGTAAGAAGAAGTATACCGATTATCCTATTTTCGTGCCTAACAAAACTGTAATGTATGTCCATGGCGAAAAGTTCAGTAGCCTCGGTGGGATTCGAACCCACGCATGGACACCGCCTACGCTTTGTACGCGCATGCTCTACCAGCTGAGCTACGAGGCCACACCGATAGCACTGATCTTTTTCACATTCGAATTTACCAATCCAAATTACAGAGGCATGTGGCATCCACCAGTTAGCATGTAACCTAACTGCCTCGACAGGTTTTCCTTAGAATTCACCGGACTACACCGAATGAGCTTCTAAGACAAGGTTAATTGTTCAAATAGTTGTTCGGCAGATTTGAAGTTTCTATGT